TTTCATTATCCACATTGCACACTTTCCTTATTTAATCATCAATATAAGACATTTTCTGGTAATTCTCTATTATTCACATTACCAATTTTTCAAATTTTATTATCCACATTATACATTTTCGATATTTCATTTTCCACATAGTACTTTCTATTTTTCATTTTTCACATTACACATTTTCAATATTCACGAATAATCATACTTTCTATATTTTACTTTCCATAAATCTTCTTTTCTATATTTAATAATCCAAAATTCATATATATCTAAATTTCACTATCTAAATTACATACCTTCTGTCCTTTCATTGGTACTACTGTGTCATTGGCATCATAAAATCCAAATTGGCTGAAAAGGATGGAAGAAGAATCACCAGTTTTGTCTAATAAAATCGATAAGCATAACAGAAAACATATTTAAGTCCAACCACATTAAGCTTTTTATTGCGTAACAAGAATATTATACACGAATCTTCTTATGCTATCGTTTCATTTTGGTAAGATTTAAAATTAGATATGGTATGTTGTGTATCCTAGGTGTCCCCGTCAGGATCACTTCTGTGACCAATGTTACGGAACACAGTAGAGAACACAACTGATCTGCTCAACTCATTATAATTCATTAGGATATTTATCTTTTTATATTACACACTTTTCCACATTTTGTTTTTGTTCTGCCTTGTCTCTCCTATTACACCTATTGTTTAGCTATGCTGTGGTCCTGTAAAACCTTTCTGTGGTGATGAACAATATATATTTTATCAAATAATGCGGAATTGCACGGATATAAAAACCCTGCTAAATGCTTTACAAATAACTGAAGTCTACGCAATATTCATTTAAAGACGCGAGTGCTCAAATCATGCAGTATTGAATAGTATTAAAGGTATGTTTCTTTTTGAATAGGTGTGTTGATTCAGGTGATTTCCCCAACTACATGACTTGTTCTATTACGGTGACACGTATATCAGTACACAATACCTTGACTGCCAGGGAGTGATCACACCGTCGTCAGGCCCGCCTATCATTATCATTTTCTTCAATCGCAGAAAATTGCTTTTATAAACTGTAAACAGAAAGCATTAATTAAATAAACTTGATCACACAACTTGACGTTATATTATTATAGTAACAGCCTTCACTTGTTTACATCCATATTTGTCAGGTGACGCGTTCACATGGGTAGGTTTCCGTTTCGGATCAACTGGAAACTGGACAAATCCTTACGCGATAGCAACACTGTAAAACGCTTTATCTCAGATAAATAGTTTGATATATATGTAGTTGTTAACGATATAATTGATATACCATGCAATCTTTAAGTTATTGGAGCGTAGTTATTGTTTGTAAATACACTTGGTTATTGTACTAATAGCATTGAAAAATGAACATTGCTAGATCGTAAAGTTACATTATAAATGACATCAGATAAAACCAGAAACTAGACATATCATAGGAAAGCATGTCCGACACATGTCATTAGTGTTGTGTGTCAAATGAACACAAATTTCAGAAAACAAATGCATATATATATAGGGGTTAGCTCCCTTGAATCAATAGTCATACGTACGGGTTGCATTAGGCGTGGCAGTGTCGTTGTCTAAGGCTGCTAAAAACTTGTTATACTGCGTGTAAAGCGCCTCCTGGTGGGGATCTTCAATACAATATTTATCGTTAGTTTTGACATTAACACAAATACAGCTACAAAATGCTTGGAAATGGGAAACTATCATGCTGTTCATGATATATTACTACTATCAGATTAGAAAGGCCATTGCATTAGATACAATTATAACGAAAACATGATCTAGTCGGTAAAGTTATCATTTTTTAAAGACATATATAAACAATCATAATGAAATCAGACTTGTCTAAAAACAACTCATATATTACCGTGCCAGTAGTTGGCTATCGACCACTGCTGTCCCCCTTCCGTGTAGAAAAACCTGTTTGAAAGGTATGATTTATAAATAAGAGAAAAAAACACATCAAATATTATGCAAATGTGATTTTTTACCTCTTGATTTTGGCAGAATAAGAATACAAACAATGTCATTTATACTTTCCCTTTGTTGCAAAATATGATTTCTTGCTGATACCAAAGCAAAACTAACTAGAAGTTTATTCAAAACTCTAAAATTCAATTTTTAGAAACAATCAGTATTTGAGTACTAAATCATTTTACGTGTATGTCAACCCACCTATACACGTTTTCTTTGAGGTAGTTCGGAAAAAAGTACTTCAAATACATCGAGTCTGAAACAAAAACTATACATTTTAGTATTTACGGTGACTTTAAGGACGGCATTACAAATTGTCTTACTTATATTGAACTGTCCTGTTTGGGTAGCAGTTCAGGTAACAAAACAGACAATTATAACAATATTTAACTGTAAATAGTTATTATCATTTTATTAAAATATCTCTTTTGAAATGTACCTCCAAACTGCCCTGCCTGTGGTGAGCTGACGGAGATGAAGTTGTTTACGTTGTGAGGCAGTACAGAAAGCAGTCCCCTGCATATCAATCCGCCTTAAACAATAAGTCACGTAGGGTAAGCGTGCTATGTACAATGTGTATGTTTTAATATACCTGATATTGATTGGAACAAACACACAACTGACTTGATTAATTCGTCGTGTTGCTATGTTGGTTTTCGGATGCTTAGAGATGTTAAAATAGCTATGTTAGTATCACTATATTAAAACGCTTGCAACACTAATTAATCACTTGATGTACAGAAGTTAACATGTGCTATAGTGTGTAAGTAAATATTGACATTCTCCTTTTCTACTTTCTCAATACTGTGTTTTTATTATCGACTACATTTTATAATTAAATATTCGGACATTTAAAACAAAATTCGGTAAAATTGTTATCAGGGCATATAGTTTAATATGCATCAGACAAAAACATAACAATACCTTGCGAGAAACAGATGAGGTTGATCCCCTCTGGGCTATTTACCAAGCTTTCCCTGACCATTTCCTTAATGGTGTTGATCTGTGTCCACATTGGCACCACGCTTTGTAAATGGTTGAAGGCATCTATCGCAGTTACATTGGTTCCGGGGAATGCCTGTCATTAAAACAGGTCCGTTATGCAGGGATTGTTTTACATGAAAAACTGTGGCGTTGCTTTCGCATTGCAATAAACATATTCAATACACTCCCACACAGTTAACGAGATGGACAACTACCGTACTATTCAGTTTAGTACAGGGTAGTCTATGCCCCATATATTTGTAACTTAGCACATGTATATATATCTAATCCGCGTTCCAAGACAAAGGGGAAATAACCAAACTGATCATTTATAATAATGCCACATATTTCCCGCAAGTGGTTTTGACTGGTGGCATGAAGACAATGTTCAAGTAGTAATACGTCCATTTGCCATCTTTGAACACTATAGTTATGCATACATTTTTAGATATGATGTGGTTGATTTATACTGATGAATACACGGTTTCAGAGGAAAAACTCTTTACTGTCCAATTAACAGATTATTGGAAAAAGATATACCAAGATCACTTTAGAATGTCCTAAAATAATGTTCATATTTATATAGATGTCAGGTAAATATGTTCGAAGAGATGCAATCGTACGTGATTTTGATTATTGGAATGAAATTTCACCACAATGAGGAATCAATTCAGTTGAAGACCTAAACGTAACACATGAACCATGCAGTCTTCGATCTGATATGTGTATAATCATTATTTGCATTGTTTATTACAACTAACATGTTTATACTTGCACATGGTGGGAGTTATGTCCCTTCCTCCCTACAATCATCTAGTTAAAAGATAATATTTCATTTGAATTCTTGACCAGCGATGGAACTATAGCCAATGTCCATAAGTAATACAACAATAAGTCGGTATGACATGTCTTAATTACTTACATGCTGTATTTACTTAGACAGGTACATGTACGTCCATTTGCAACCAACAGAGAGGACTTATACAGGCTTAAACCTGGTGCCTAATCCTAGGTGGTCAATACATTTTGTTAAAATCAAAGACAATTCATTGATAGACATGATAGTTATTTTGTGATCATTATGGACGTTAATCACTTAACATGGACGCCATATAACGAACTGTGGTGACAAATTGATATGAGGTAGATCAGTATTCACTGGAGACATACGAATATAACGTAGTTCGGTGTAAACTGGAGATGCACCAATAGATACACGAATATGACGTAGTGTGGTGTATAATGGAAACATACGGATGTGACGTATGACGGTGTATACTGGCGAATTACTGGTGTGACGTAGTTAGGTTTATACTGGAGATGAACGGATATGACATAGTTAGGTTAATACTGGACATAAGGATGTGACGTAGTTAGTTTATACTGGAGACATACCGATGTGATAAAGTAAGGTTTGAACCGGTGTCAGCTGAAGTATCTGTCAGTCATTAACGTTATAGCTGTTGTTCAAAACAACGGTGTTCTGTACTCTCATAAACGTTTAAACCCACTCCGTAGATTGCAGCAGAGTCAATGCAATATAGCAACGCTAATTGATTATTTGATGATAATCAAAATGCGCCCTTTGGAATTTATGCATATTTGAGTGATTCAACATCTGGTTTTCGCCCAAAAGCAAACGCAACAACATTCATGCTTAACAATGAATCAATTTTGGTATTGCTGCCTGCTTCATGCATGAATGAATGTGTCACGGGGAGAACGATTTTTATTGGTTCATTTATAATTTCATATCCTAATTAAATGTTCATTCACACAGAGGCTGACTACATCAAATACATGATAATGTGAGAGTAATTTTGAGAAACGGAAATTAGATCGGTTCCTGACCTTCAAACAACCAGGAAGATGAATACGTTTTGAGAATCACTTCGTTATATTATGGCTCGCCTATATTCACAAAACGCCCTCAGCATTGATTAAGATATCGGAGTTTTGTGTCTCTAAGATCTTTACCAGACGGGATTGACGTAAGCATTGCACTGAACAACAAATGTATACATATATGCGTCACAAACCTCCTCGACAAACCCCCTCAGCGGGTCAGCTTCATCAGGTGCAGCTATGATTCCATGCATGAAAATGATAGGTTTGATACTTTCAGCTTGATCAACTAGCGTACAATACATTGATACATATACTAGTAGCTTGTACATGTACTGTGTCGCCATATTGAAAGCTGGAGTGTACAATGGTCTCCTTATCATACTTTGAAATTGGCCTGATTACTAAGAACAGATAACAGTAAGAACAGACGATGTTTTCCCACTTCTGAATATAGCTTTTAAAATTTAGGACGAAAGACATGTATTGAACAAATTCAACAATAACCTGAGCGTGATATCCTACACAGTTGTACAATTTCTCTTTTAGTTTTTGTGATATATTTAGACATTGATCTGCTTTCGGTTGACATTCATAGGCAATATGAACGCCAACTGGACAAATGCAAATTCTATGAAGCTCGCTAGCCCTAGCCTTTTTCAAGATGACTATCATATTGCCCATCAATACTGTTCGAACTAAGTAGGGGAAGTGGCAGTGTCATAGAGTGGTTGATATTAAGCGTTGACATTTCTCTTTGGTATATATAAATTTGTGTTACATATTTACTTAAAACAGTTTTTATAATGATAAACCTCATTTTAGTTCATCTTGAATATTTTACTTAAACGTTCCACAATACGTACATTATGTACATGTATGGTGAATGCTAAAAATTGTAAATCGTCTGTGTGAGCGAGAAACAAAATATTTTCTCCCGTGAGCCACATACTACACGCTCAGATTCAAATAACCAAATGTTTCTCTCTTGGAAGTCTGCTTTCTGATAGAATATTGAGTCGCTCTTAAAGAAAAAAAGATAAAAAGATCAAAGAACACATAACACGAATCTTTCCGTAGCAGATGAAGAGAACTTTAACCATCTAAGATGGACATTTTAGAAAGGGCTTTGCGAATTTAATGCTTGCAAAGGAAAGGAAATGGTACGTTTTGTAATGTTCGTCATGAAACACACTGAACTATGATTATGAAAATAGGCGGCGGACGGGGAGGGGGTGACCATAGTAACAATGCATTTGGTCACTCAGAATTCTTTCTCTTACAATGGAAAAGGTATTTGCTTCTCAATCAGAGATTTCATACCAGGGAATTATAATTAAACAACATCAACAACTCCACCTTCAGTAGACTGAGGGTTTGAGAAGAAGGCATGTTCTCTTTAACGACATGTTGCACGACGATTTCGCCATGTTTCTAGCAACTCACCATTTCCCTTGCACGATCTGTTTTACGTCAGTAAGTGTAGCATATATGTAGCAATCTTTTTGTCAAATTGGTTTCCCATGCGTCGCTCAAAAAGGAACATACATGTAATACCAAAATTGCAGTGTAAATCAAAGAATTGTGTTTCATTGTGCTGATCATACCCATGGTATAACAAACATTGTGGGTAGTTTCCGTATAACGTAGTATCAGACATCAGAAAATGTGTAGCTGAGAGACCAAGTGGTGAGTATAATCCACCAAACAATACAAACCAGAGTAGTTTTTTGAAAACGTGTTCACTTCAGTAACTAATGGCTGGTATTGCAGACAGTAAATATAGGGATACAAACGGTGACACTACCGAAGCTTTGGAAGGTCATGCCTGTATGGTAATTAAAATAATCACCGACCAATATTAGAAAAGGTATTGGAAAATAGAGCAGACTCGTTCTAACGTCATGCTACCACATTGGTACACGGTCAGAAAATGGTTCGAATAGTACTTTAAAATCAAATTT